GTGCATGGCATGGCGCACGTGCACCGCAGAAGTGCGCAGCAAGTATGTAATTTAGTAATTACTAATTAGTAATTTTACTAATTTATTATTATAATAATATTGTAATGAACCCAGACTGGAAGATAGTCATCGGACGTCGAAGTACAAGTAGTCTCAGATCAGCACAATGTCTCCAGTTTGCGTAAAAGTGATATATGATACAACATCTCGTTACCAATAGACGAAGAGAGTGGAGGGGGAATAGAAAGAGGAGAGGGTGAAAGAGATAATCAGTGAACACACAAGAGTTGCCCAATCATTTCCCACTTCTTCTCCGGGCTTCCCCTTGCCTCCACGTCATCAATCAATATACAGGAACAATGCTGGTGAGTCCTGATCACATAGAAGTACCACGTGGCACTATCATCTCGTGGAGACAATGAAAACAACAGCAGTCCACGGTATCGACGTCAACCTCAGGTGAGTACCAATTCCCAATCATCCACAGATCCCTGATCTCCCTCCTTGTCGCAATCAGTCACTTCATGTAGACAGCGTGGCCAGTGCCACGTCAGCAGTAGAGACAGGTGGCATGCGCCACATCAGCAATGTAGACAGGTGGCATGCACCACATCAACAATGAAGACAGATGGCCTGCCCTACATCAGCAATGAAGACAGATGGCCTGCGCCACATCAGCAATGTAGACAGGTGGCATGCACCACATCAGCAGAGGCTGGCGCTCGGCAGAGAAGGCGCCAGCATGCTGCCACAGTCCCACGTTGTCGTCCACAGTACCAGGGCACAGCCAGCGTCAAGCCAGCGTCGAGCCAGCGTCCAGCTAGAGTCAAGCCAGCGTCGAGGCAGCATAGCAAGACTGAATGATGACCTCCTGGAGACCAGGCCTTATGTAGCGTTTGACGAGGCAGTCTGGTCTCAGGTCTCCTTCCCACAGTCGTACAGATTGACTCACAGCCGAGGGCCTGGATTGTATACAGTTGCAGACTTTGCCTTGGTCTTGATGCTGTCTGGGTACCTTCATACAAACAAGTGTGTGTGTCTGATCGGCGGCCTGGGCTGGGTCCACTTTGACTTCGACTGTTGGGCGTCAGGCAGTTGACTTCGGTCAACTATCGCTCGCTCAGGCCCTGAATCTTTGGCTGGGGTCTTTTTCCCCTCTTCGGCCTGGGTCTGAGTGTGGCCTGGCGAGGCCCTTAGGCATTGCACGAGGCATACTGCATGGGTTATTGCAATATATTATTTATTATTTATTATTATTTTATATTTATTATGCTTTATTATTTTCATGGCTACGATCCGGACGTCCGGACCGACATCCAGACGGTCCGGATTCGGTCCGGAATCCGGACGTCCGGTTCAGACGGTCCGGATCTGCCAAATTTCGAGAAAAAAAAAAAAAAACCACGGTCCAGGACCCTTCCCCATTGAGGAGCCAAGCCCCCAAAATTGTTTTGAGGGTTTTTCAGGCCCGTTTATGCTTTTTTGGGGGGTCCGGACATGCTCTCTCTCTATAATAATTTATTAGACAACCCCAAGTTTTTTATTATGAATAATTCATTACCTTTTATTAGTTTTTAAACTTTTTTTTAACTTTTTTAAGTCTTTTTTTAAGCTTTTTATAGTTTTTGACTTTTAACTCAAGTTTGGTTAGGAATTCTGACATGACTCTGAGGCAAAAGTGGTTTGCATTGTTATTCTGCATAACATACTTTTTTTTCAGATTTTTTTTTTTTTTTTTTTAATGGTCCGGACATTTTCCCTGTCCAGACATCCGGACCGTCCAGATCCCCCCATGTCCGGAGGTCCGGAAATGTCCGGAATTCCGGACGTCCGGAAACTACCGGACACGGGTCCGGTTCCATGTTCGGAAATGTCCGGGTCCGGGTCTGGGTCCGGCGTAGCCATGATTATTTTCGTTTTTCTTTTCATTTTTCTTTATTTTTATTTTTATTTCCATTTTTATTTCGACGCGAGGATCAAGGTCCTTGGTAGGCCTAAGGGGCCCTGTTTGCAGCATTGCCCGCCCTAAGTAAAGGCGGGCCTGACATATCGCAAGAGGCCCTCGACTGTCAATTTCATATTTGGGGTCCAGGCAGTTGCGACGCGCCAGCTGGTTGAGAGAAACTCAGGCCAAAAACATTTCCACGGCCCTCTGGGCTTTTCCAAAGAATGTAGGACCTGGGCGTGAATCGCAGCCTCATACAGAGACAGTTGGGCGCCCAACCGAACGAGGCCCAGCAGCCCAGTAGCTGCTGTACACAGGCAGCCTC